GGTGGACCTGAAACATTTTGCTCTCTGCATTCGCTTTAGTGACTTAAACAAGAAGAATGGTTGGGGAATACTTTTCAAGCCTTTGTGTAATTTGTTCTTTTGTTTGATTGAATCGTCAGTAGTACTTATTGTTCCCCTCTCTCTGTTTTTATGAAGCTGGGCATTCAGTTCTCTGCTAACCAAGAACACAGAAACGAACTGCAAACACCATCTGAGCTCAAGAAACACATTGCCATGGTGGTGACGGGGTCATTGCTGCTGCTTGTCTTCCTATCTGCCATTGTGTACAGGTGTTCGCAACGCAAGTCGCATAAAAAGAAGGATCAAGTAAGTGTTGACAAGACATCCTGTGAAGGGAGCCAGTAACAAACGGCGTAGAATTGTAGTTTTAAAAAAAATTAGTTATTTGACCATCAATTATCCCCTAAGGCATGGCGACGCAAGTACTTTATTTTTATACTTGCATGGCCTATGGCTGGGTTCATCCCTAATCACGCTGGAGATAACACTTGTGAGCCTCCTACTCAAAACATTGCTCTCTTTGTAGAGTGTTATCATAGAATAATATTGCTACAGCGTGGAAGCAGGCCATTTGGCCCATCGAGTCCACATCAACTCTCCGAACAGTATCCCTCCTATATCCAGCCCCTACCCTCTCAGTGACCCTATATTCCCTGCAGCCAATCCACCTACCCTGCATATCATTGGACTGTGGGACAAAACCGGAGCACCCGAAGAAAACCCACACAGACATTGGGAGAACGTGCAAACTCTACACAGTTGCTCAAGGGTAGAATTGAACCTGGGTCCTTGGTGCTGTGAGGCAGCAGTACTAACCACGGAGCCACCAAGCTGCTCATTCCAGAGCAACAATTTCTCCAGCACTTTGTTTTTGGTTCAGATTTCCACCATCCTGCAGTTTTCTATTATTATTTTAGCAGTCCTCAGGGTATTAGGAAGGGAGTTCCAATATTTTGACCCAGTGATGGTGAATAAACCCATTAGAGACCAAAGGGGCAACCTGTACATGAAACCAATGGACATGGGTGAGGTCTTAAATCAATACTTCTCACCTGTGTTTTCACAAAAGAGAAAGACATTGTAGGAGTTGGGGTGGAACATGCTCAGATTATTAAGGAGGGAGTATTAGATGTTTTACATAAATCCCCAGATGTATCCCAGGCTGCAGTGGGAGGCAAGGGAGGAGAGTACTAGTGCTGGGACCCTTGCTGTTTATGTACATTAATGTCTTGGATATGAATGTAGAAGGTATAATCAGTAAGTCCGCAGATGACACAAAAATTGGTGTTGTTGTTGATAGTGAGGAGAATGGTCTCGGGCTACAGTCTGATATTGATCAGCTGGTAAATTGGGCAGAGCAACGGTAGATGAAATTTAGTCCAGATGAGTGCGAGGTGATGCATTTTGGGAGGTCTGATAAAGGAAGGATGTACACAATAAATGGTAGCTTCCAAGGGAGTACTGAGGAATAAAGGGACCTTGGTATACAAATCCATAGACGCTTGAAGGTGCAGCACAGTTGGACACAGGGGTGGTGAAGGCATATGGGATGCTTACCTTCATTAGCAAGGGTGCAGAATATAGGAGCAAGGAAGTCTTGTAGGTCTGTATCCTTTGCAGTTGAGAAGAATCAGAGATGGCTTAACTGAAACATACAAGATGCTGAGGGGATTCGACCAGGTGGATTTGGGAAGGATGATTCCTCTTGTGTGAGAATAGGATGAACAAAAGTAGGCCATTCGGCCCTTTTTGAGCCTGCTCTGCCATCCGTTATGAACATGGCTGATCATCCAACTCAATAGCCTGTTCCCACTTCTCTAGAATGAAGGGTCATAGTTTAAAACTAAGGGAGCACCCAATTTAAACCAAGATAAGGAAACCTTTCTGTCTCAGAGCATTGAGAGACTTTGAAATTCCCTTTCTCAAAAGGCGTTGAATGTAAAATCTTTAAATATTTTTAATGAAGAGTTAGATTCTTGATGACCAAGGGGATGAAATTTTATTGGGGGATTATACAGGAGTGTAGAGTGGAAGTTAAAATCAGATCAGCCATGATCTTATTGAATTGGAGCGCAGGCTCAACAGGCCAAGTGGCCCATTCTCGTTCCTTGTTTGTATGTTCACATTTATATCCTCAACCATCCAACCATCTCCCTTTGACTTTCAGCACCCTTACCATTACTGAATCCTCAATCCATTAACATACTGGGTGTTAGCTTTAACCAGAAACTGAACTGGACCACCCACGTAAAATCTGTGGCTATAACAGCAGGTCAGAAGCTAGGAATCCTGCAGTGAGTAACTCACCTCTCGACTCCCTAAAGCCTGTCCACCATCTACAAGGCTGAAGTCAGGAGTATGGCAGCGTACGCTCCATTTGTCTAGATGGGTGCAGCTCTAACACTAACAACGCACTGTACAAATTCACCATTCCCATTAGACAGCATCTTCCAAAGCTGTGACCTCTACCACCAAGATAGACAAGGGCATGGGAACACCACCGGCTGCAAGCTCCCCTCCAAGGTACACACCATCCTGACTTGGAAATGTATCGCCATTCCTTCAGTGTCACTGGGTCAAAGTCCTTGAACTCATTTCTTAACTGCGGTCTACACTGAATGGTCTGCAACAGTTCTTGAAGATGGCTCAGTCCCACATTCTCCTTAGCAATTAGGGATGGGCAATAGGTGCTGGCCTGGCCAGTGATAGCTACATGCTACCAAACAAATTAGAAACAGAATGTCTCCCCTTCAGGACCCAGTTCAATTCAAATAGAAACGTTAACTCTGTTTCTATCTCCCCACATGCTGCCTGACCTGCTGAGTTTTTCCAGCATTTTGTTTTTGTTTCTGATTTCCAGCATCTATATTATATTGCTTTTATTTTCATGGTGAGAGGCTTCTATGAATGGAAACACTTAGAATGCAAAGGAGGCATTAGTCTATCTCTCTCTCATACCACTGCCAGTAAAATAATGCCTCACATTTATATATTGCCTTTCATAACTGCAGAATGTCCCAATCTACTTTACTGCTAATGAAAAGTTTTGGAACTGTTATTGTTGTAACTTAGGAAAGGAAACAGCCACAAACAGCAATGGGACAATGAGCAGAATCGGTTTTTGATCCGTAAAGACAGACCGAATCCACAAAACAGCAGAGAAAAGAAATTAATTCAACTAAATTCTTGCACGTACCACTGCCTGAGCAACTAGCAGCAAATCTGGCTTCTAACACTAGATATTATTCCTCGAGAAAACTCCTCAGTGCAAGCGCTAACACCTTCTGAAGGAGACTGGGCCATTGAGCGATTACATATTGACATTGTCATCAAAACAGTCTCTCTTCACCTTTGTGCCTACCTCAGCTCATTTCCTCTGAAACCTTATTCATGCCTTGATCTCCTCCAGACGTGACTATTCCAACACAACCCTGGGCTCCCACATGGCACGGTGGCTCAGTGGTTAGCACTGCAGCTTCTCAGCGCCAGGGACCCGGGTTCGATTCCACCCTCGGGCAACTGTCTGTGTGGGTTTCTTCCCACAGTCCAAGGATGTGCAGGCTAGGTGGATTGGCTATGCTAAATTACCCGTAGGTGTTCAGGGATGTGTAGATTAGGTTGGTTATAGGGTGATGGGTCTGGGTGGGTGCTCCGAGGGTCGGTGTAGACTTGTTGGGCCGAAGGGCCTGTTTCCACACTGTAGGGATTCTATGATTCTACCCTCGATAAACTTCAAACCATCCAAACCTGCACTAGATCCTGCTCACCCATCACCTTTGCATTTATTGGTATATGTTGCCTTCTGGTTAAACGATGCCTCAACTTTAAGATTCTCATCCATCTTTTCAAATCCAAATGTGGCCTGACTCCTGTCTTATCTTTACAATCATCTCCAGCCTTGAGATCTTTCAACTCCTTGAATTCAAGAAGCTTCAGGATGCCTGAGTTTAATTGGTAAACTGTTGGCAGCAGTGCCTTCATCTGACTAGGCCCTAAACTCGGAAAATTTCTGCTAAATTTTCTCTGTATTGCCACCTTGCTGATCTTTTGGATGTTTTAACCTACCTCTTTGGCCAATCATTAGGTCATCTGCTGCAATATCTCCTAAGATGGTTTTTCGCAAGATCTAGTTTTGCAATTCTCCTGTGAAGCATATTTAATTACATTATTGGTGCCATATGAATACAAGTTGTTATTGCAACAGTTCAGAGATGGCTCCCTCTGCTGTTCTTGCCTTGGGTCTGCACACCTTGTTTCCAGACACAGTGGGAAGCTATTGCAAGCTCTGAGCAGCAGATGGGGATCTTGCATTTGTCATTGAATCCTGAACTGCTCATTACCTGGGAAACCAGGAGACTGGCATTCTCATAGCGCCGTTCGCCACATCAGGCCATTGCCCAGGGAGTTTTGTAGCTGGTGAGACCCCCCCTTTAAAGCAGCAGTCACCCACTGTAATATGGGAAACACAGGCAGCCAACCTTAGCACAGCAAGATCCCACAAACTGTGTTCAATAATTGACCTGAAAACCCTACTTCTTAAATCCATAGGGTGCGTATCCTGGCAGACATCGCCAGATCGTGAGCTGCAGTCAGAACCCTAACATGGCATCCTACCCCCACCCCTCCCACCCTCCTCCATGCGCACTGCAGAAGATGAAACCAATCCTGGTGGAGATTGAAACCTCCAGTAAAATCTCTTGTGTCACTGTTTCCTTGTTCCTTCTGCAGTACCTGACCGAGGAGATTCAGCCTGTGGACAACGGTTGCCACGATAACTTGGCCATGGACATCACCGAGAGTGAGCCAGAGATGCAGGAGAAGCCCAGTTCAAAGGTCAACATGCAGGACAACATGGACAATTGGATTGTTCCCATGGACAGCCTGACTAAGGATGAGCTGGAGGAGGAGGACACTCACTTATAAAGCAGCTGAACCATAAAGCAACTGCTCCCTTCAGCCCCACTGCACTCCTATATGATTGCTTCAATATATAGAGATCTATACTGCCAACAGAACTGAACTCAAACTTTCACCCCAGCATCAACTTCCTGAACACCTTTTTTTTTTTAATATATAGGGTTGGTTTTATTTGGGAAATCAGATGTTTCAGAATTTATGGAGGTCTGTTACAAACATAGCTGTAACTTTTCTAGTAATCTCAAAACTTGGATTCATGCTCCGAAGATACAAGTTCAAATCCTGCCATAGGACTTTAAATTTGAATATCAAGTTTTAAAAAGTAATCTGGAACAAAAAGTTTATGTCATAAATGGTGGCCTTAAAATTATGGATTGGCACAAAATTCCTGTCTGGTTCACCAATGCCCTTTATAGAAAGAAATCCACCATCTTTATCTGGTCTGTCCTACAGGTGACTCCAGACTGACATCACTGTGGTCGATTCTCAAATGTCCCCCTGAAATAGCCCTATAACACTATTTAGTTCCAGTCCAATTAGGAATGGGCAATAAATGTTGGCCTTGCCAGTGATGCTTACATCCCATGAAGGATGCAAGAAACAGAATGCACTCTCTCATCATTAAAAAAAAAGTGCTAAGGGCTGAGACAGTCAAATTGAGCAAATTATTCCAAGGGAGAATATTTCCAGCGAATTTATCACATTTACCACCAGATGTCTAATGGGACTCTGCAATCTGCAAGTCACTGTTGTGAGCAAAATGTCAGGGGCATTCGTAAATAGTGGGGTTTTTTTTTCAATTAACATTTTCTTTGAACACTTTTGTTTAGTAGTTATAGAACTCTCTGATAGGACATTGCGATCCCTCTTGTTGTGAACTGAGAGAATGTTGGGCCTGTCCAAGCAGGTTACAGCTGTTGTCATTGTCAAAACTCCACCGTGGGAAATAAAAAAACCAAAGAACTGCAGATGCTGGAGATCTGAAACAAAAACAGCTCGTGAAACTCAACAGGTTGTGGGGAGACAGTAGAATTACTGCTTTCAGAGTCCTGAAGAAGATTTTCTGATAAAGAGTCACCAGACTTGAAACATGAACTCTGCTTTCTCCCGGCGCATGCTGCCAGACCTGCTGAGTTTATCCAGCAGTTTCTGTTGTCGTCGTCGACCGTGGCTATTGCTGCTTCAGGGCCCATGACTACAAATTTTCAGCTCATGACCCCACTTGGGGTCCTGACCCCCACTTTGGGAAGCCCCATGAAAGGAAATCAGAGGCTTGTTTCAGTGATGGCCAGAAATTAGACAAACAGGTGATGTTCACTTCACAAGGGAACCTCCGTAAGGGTGGAAATGTTGTGTGACCAGTGATGGAAAAGTAAGGTGCAGGGAAATGGACCTTTATAGGTCATGTAATGAAGTGTCCACCATTGTGCGAATCAGGGTTGGCAACTTTGAGAAAGAGAAACACATTGAAAGAGAACTTCCAATTGCTGTACATCACTAGTCAGGGACAGAGTCAACACGCTGACATAGAAAAGGATGACAAAAAGTGAAAAAAAAACGATCTTTTCCAGAACACACCCACTGTCCAATCAGCTTCCAATTGCTTTGCAGAATGCCTCACCACCCAATCACCTTGCAGAACATCACACCAATCCAATCGTTCCCTTCCAGAACACCTTACCTGTCCAGTTGCCTGATTCCAGAAGACCTCATTGACGCAATCCCCTTCCAGAACACCACACTGGCCCAATTATCTTCTCGATCCAATCATGCACTTATGACAAAAACAGGAAATAGTTAAAGCCAGATTCTCCTGTTGTAATCGCAGTCATAATTTTTTCAGACAAAATACTTGAGCCCCCAGTGAGTGAAGGCGTATGACAGCACTGAAACTACCATCTAACATAATAAGCCTAGTGCTGAGAAGACAAATCAGATTGTTATTATGTACTTAGTACACTAGATGTTTTTGTACAGTGGTGGGTCTGGAATGATTGTTTGATTGTGAAGCTCTACATTTTAAAAAAAAAGAAAGAGATATAAATCTTTTGACACCTCAGTAGCTATATTGGATTAATTGGCTGGGAACATTTCCAGTCCCTAGAGGATTAAGCCGCTAAGACCTATAATTTTTCCAAAATTTTCCATTGATTGTGTGAAGTTGAAGTTTTTCTATGAACGTTGGATGCATAACACTCAATCTCAGTGCAAGTAGATAATCACATGAATGGGGCACATCCATCAATAAAATGAATGAACCTTCAGATGGGTTTGAGCTTTACATTCCCCTGGGCTTTAGTATGCTTCATCATGTATAACTCCAGCAGCAGTTATCAATCATCATTGCTGGCCTCCTGTTTATACTGAGCTACTAATCGGAGTACCATAGCTCCACAAATTAGAATTCTTGCCTGGTTTCTAAACATTTTAAAACAATCATTTAGATTTTATTTTTTAAAACTTACACATTGGAGAAGGTGACATTGGGCGCAATCTGGTCTCTCTCCTCAGATGAAAAGTGGGGAGTTTAAGCCTCACTTGCAGGACTGGGACTGCTGTCTCTTCAGTGAAGGACTGAGAGGGTGACAGCATTGCCAAGCTATCCAGAAGGAAGATTTATATTTACATAGCACCTTCCTGGCCTCTCTGCATCCCAAAGTGTTTTAAAGCCAACTTTGAAATGCAGCTGTTGTAGTATCGCTATCAATTTGCTCATGCCTGATTCTTACAAACAACAGTGAAATAATGGACCACCTAATCTCGTTTTGTGATGCTGACTGAGGGCTTCTTTCGTATAGTGTTGTGGGATTGTGACACATCCATTTGAAAGGAGACAAGGCACCTTCGTTTAACATCTCACCTGAAAGACGCCTTCAACAGGTCAGCAGTCCCTCCATACTACAGTGGACTGTCCATTTAGAGTTTAGCAAAGTCTTCTCTCTACTTTAAACTAAAACCTCTGACTGAGAGATGAAAATGCTACCCACTCCATTATCTGTAGAGAAGGCAGCTGCCAGCATTCTTCCCTCAACAGCTTCATTCAACTTCATCCGCTAAGGCTCCACAAAAGTCAAAGGGTCCTCTTGCACGACAGCAGTAATTGTTCACTACAATTCACTCCACCTTCAACACTTGAGACAGTTCCAAAGACACACTAATTCCATGACTTCAAGATCCTTTTTTATCTTTAAAGTAATTACTGATCGAGGTTTACAGACCACTGCACATCTCTGATTAGGTTTATTGTACATTGTAAAGGGGCAATGGAAACAAAGCCAGAGCATTTTAAATTGCGATGCACAAAAGTGGTTGTGGTAAATGCACGAAACAGTCCACATCTAGCAGCTGGTTCAGACAGTAAAAGTTTTCCTTTGGAGACAGCAAGAACTGCAGATGCTGGAGTCAGAGTCAATACAGTGTGGAGCTGGAGGAACACAGCAGGTCAGGCAGCATCAGGGGAGCTGTAGTGTCGATGTTTCAGGTCATGACCCTTCGTCAGGACTGAAAGTTTTCTTTTATTCATCATTAAATAAGCCAATCCCAAACTTCAGTACCCATCAGGCCACTCAGCAGAGACATCAAACTGTTAAGTCATTGACTTAATTTCCATTACTGATCTTAGTCAATAAATTAATCATTGCTACTCCACAGATGATTGTTAATAAGCCAGGCTGTGTCTATTTCCCTGACGACTCAAAAACAGAAATTGCTGGGAAAACTCAGCAGGTCTGGCAGCATCTGCGGCAAGTTAACGTTTCAGGTCCAGTGACCCTTCTTCAGTTGGTGTGTGTACCGCTCCATAGCCAATCGATTTGTATAGACAGTACACTTGGATGAGGCTAGAAGGGTAGTAGTAGCTAAAAGAGGAGGCAAAAATCGGTCAGTTTTACTACTGTGAACTGTTTCCCAGAATGTGCGAGCGTGTTAATGACGAGGATCAGATCAGGTTTGTCTGTGATGCCTAATTTAGCTGAATAGTCTGTCAGTGATCTCGAAGAACGGCCAGAGGACAGCAAACGCTCCTGGAAGCCTGATCTGAGCAAGGACGAAGGACGGACATGGGAAGCATAAAGTACAAATGAGCTGTAATTAGTACATCAGAGTAGGCAGTCCTGAATAATGCAATCAACTTTCAAACTATAAAACAATGTCAATGCAATGAGTCTGTTTTTACAAAAGGGTATAAATGTTAGAAAGAGATTTCTGTACATGTTATCAATAGTTGTGTAAACAAATAAATACAGCAGCTAATAAAAGAATCCTTAAATTCCTTTATAGTAAAAATAAAGTAAATAAATTAGACAAATTGCTAGATGTTCTTATTCTCAGTTCAAAACTGGACTTGGCTCCACTTGAGCAGAAAGTGAAATGCATGAAATGAGGACACTGAATAAGAAACTGAGAATGTGTAGAAACCTTGCAGCAAGTTGGGAGCTTTAATTTCTTTAATTGTCACTTTAACTGTTCCAAAAATGCAGATGACTGTGTCTCCCACTGTGTGCTGCCCATCTATGGGGACCCGATAACCAAAAGATAACAGTCTGGGAACGAGAAGAATAGAGAAAGGCGATATTAAATTTGCTTGTCTGTCATTTTTATCATCTCGTTCTGGCTTTTTCTTAAAAAGAAAGACGTGAGGAACTTTCTGCCCACATAACCCAGATAACTTCCCACTGGGGAGCCACCCATTGTACAGTGTGTGTGGTATTAATGATTTAGTTTAATGCTAAGTCTGCTACTATGGATACAGGATCGGGTTGGAGTCTGGTCCCAGGACTGGGAATGAAGAGCGTTTCAGAACGCAAAGATGGCAAAGGAAGAGTGGTTTTGTGAAGATGGACATAGTACCTTTTCAAAGATATCTGCAATCATTCTGCATTTCAATCTTTTGCAAAGAAGCATAGGATGGTGGGACAGTGGGGGAGGTGGTGGTGGAAGAGTTGGATTGTACAAAAGGGATGGAACAGGTATCAGAGTCATACAGCATGGAAACAATCCAACTCATCCATGCTGACCAAGTTTCTGAAACTAAACAAGTCCTATCTGCCAGTGTTGGGCCCATATCCCTCTAAACCCTTCCTATTCATGTACCTGTCCAAGTGTCTTTTAAAATGTTGTAACTGTAGCTATTACTTCCTCAAGCAGTTCATTCCACATACCAACTATCCTTGTGTGAAAACATTGCCTCTCAGCTCAATTTTAAATCTTTCTCCTCTCATCTTAAAAACATGCCCCCTAATTTCAACCTCCCCCAACCCTATGGAAAAAGACCTTCGCTATTCACTTCATCTATGCCCCTCATGATTTTATAAACCTCTAAGGTCAACCCTCAACCTCCTATGTTCCAGTGAAAAAGTCCCACCTATTCAGCCTCTCCCTATAACTCAAACTCTTCAATCCCAGCAAAATCCTCAAATCTTTTCCAAACCCGCCCCAATTTAACAATATCCTTCCTTTAGCAAGTCGATTGGAACTGTGCACAGCGCCAAAAAAAAAAAAAAGGTCTTACTAACATCCTGTACAACCTCAAATGTGATGTTCCAACTCCTATTCTCAGTGGTCTGAGCAGGGACAAGTGTGTTACAATGCCCACTTAAGCACCCTGTCTGTGACGCAAATTTCAGAAAAAACTATGTACCTGAACCCGTAGGTCTCTCTGTTCAACAACACTACCCGGGGCCCTACCATCAACTGTATCAAGTTCTGCCCTTGTTTGTTTTACCAAAATGCAATACCTCGCACGTATCCAAAATATACTCTATTTGCCATTCATCAGCCCATTGGCCTGATTGATCATGATCCCTTTTTAATCTTAGATACAACCTTCACTGTCGAATGTACCATCAAATTCAGGCTGTGAAGGAGTAAGGGGTATCTGAGGGAGGGTTCAAATATATAGGGATAAGAGCCCTCAGTGAAGGCAGCAGGATATTTTAGTGATGTGGATTGCGTGACAGGTAGTTAGTGGGTGATTAAGAGAGGGAGGTTGGGGTAATGAAGGGTTTTTAAGAGTCGCTAAGAGGGATGAGGTAGTGGACAGTTCTGTATTTAGTCTGTCAGGAACAAATAGGAGAGAAATGGTAGGGATTCCTATAAAATCCTCAGCATTGCGATACTGAAATTTTATCTTGCAGGCCAGTAATCCAGGATAAAGTCTGTCCAAACCTCAGTAACACCACCTCTTCTAACTGCAGCATAATTCGAAATTGGGCCATGATTCCAAGTGCACAAGCTACATTCAAAAATATATTAACCTGACAGGAGATTTAAAGGAAAATTACAACAAGATAGCACACAGGCCATTCAGCCCACAGCTCCGTTTATGTTTGACATGCACATGAGCAAGTTATTCCAATTGCATTTCCCTGCTTCTTTCCAAATCAGTTATTCAGCTCTGTAACCAATTCTTTAACATTAACATGATGCCTGTTTCAATCACTTTTCTTGTGCATTCAAAGTCTCACCATGTTATTTTTCTTTCAGAAATACATAAACCTGTAAAGCACTGAATCAGTTTGCAACTAGAGTCAAAAGATGATCTACATGCAGTCATTCAAACTGATCACCGAGAGGAACATTTACAACCCTTGGTATAACCAGGTTTGACTCTTAACGTTCCTCTACAAATCAATTTCAGTTATTAGACTAGGTTGTACTGTATTTTGAATCCAGTTGCAAACTGTGACTCCATGTTTTAGGTCCCACTTGTTTAGTTCACTTAAATCTCTAACTTTTTAATCTTTTATATTTTATTGCATAAATCATCTCCTGGTCTCAGTTTATCAGAACTAGAAATGCTATCCATTATACCGGTTAGAATCGGTTTCTATCTAGCTGCAGGACTTGTCTCTCAACAATCTTGCATTCCAATAGTGCCCATAATTTGTTCCTGTGGAGTAAAGTTTGCATGGACCATTCACAGCTGGCTTCACTGTAGCCTGTTTTCCCCAAACTCCAATTCAGTGCCATTTCTCTTTCACTTGCACCCAGCAAAAACAGCGGTATCAGGATTCAGAATCAACTAACTGGCAAATTAAATGACCGTTATTAAAATATAAA